GATGTAGCTGATGGAATACAAGTAATCCTTGTTTAGCAGCCACAATTGGAACCAGCAATTCAGTTGTTACAAAAAATAGTTGCTAAGTAAAAAATCATGTGACTACTTTTTATTTTATTTCAGCTCCCTTTGCTTATAGCATCAGATGGATATGACCCCATGTACCTAGTGAACCCAAATGAAGGGACTCACAAGGAAGCCAGATAAAGGGGAAGATCTTGCTGCTCCCCACCCTTTGAAATGTTCACTCTGATGCTGGGATAATTAGCAAGAAGAGAATGTTTATAGTTGCATTGATTTGAGGGAAAGGGATTACAAGAGCGTAAACAGGCACACCAAGGGGAATATACATTGAAATGCACATACTAGTGCCAGCTGTTTGCCTAGCCCTAGTGCAACTCATGAACCTCTTAAGATGTGTCTTCCAACTTCCTGCCAGGTTCTTGGTTTTACTTGTGGGAAGCTTGCAGGGAATATAGGAAATCACAGTCATGTGACCCCTGGGACACCGTGACAACTAGAACTTTGAGGACCACTGGACATTCCCCTTATTCAGTGCCATTGTAGTTTTGAATGGTTGCTGAATGAATGACCATAAGGATTACCTGTAATTGCAAAAAGCTTGGCTCCCATGATTGGAATACAGCAATGTGGTATGGAAGTGTATGGATTTCTAGCTGAGAAGAGAAATAAATAGAAGGGGAAGAAGAAAGGAAGAAGGAAGCTGCAAATGGGTATATTGTATATATGTACTGTACATAGATACTGATGACCAAATATTGAACCCCCATAGGAAGGCATGAGATTGCAATTGTTAAGCAAAGCTCCACCTGACTTCTGAGGTCCTCTTTTAGCACAGGACCCACCATGCAGATGGGTCCATGTAAGAAGACCAGGACAGTAGGAAAGATAACCAAAGCTCAAGCCCAAAACTTTTTGGAGCTCCTGAATGCAGAAAAGTCTAGTTAAAAAAAATAGATTGCATTCCCACTTCAGAGATGTATAAACTGCAGAAGAAGAAATGTGACAGGAAAACACTCAAAGCTATAGTTGTAAGAGAGACTATTCCCCTGATACCACCGGAAGAGGTATTGCCAAATTAGGGGACAGAAGCAGGATGGTAAATTCCCCTCCCTGTAAAATGGGGATAGCAGAGGCAAAGGCTAATAAAGGGAGCCATCTCAGGAAACCAATTCCCACATATTACTATTTAATAGGATTCATAAACGTTTCTGTGAGTAAGATACTTGTGTTGAAAGAAAAATCTTTAGGGTCCAGTCCACGATTATCAAATCTGCATTTCTACAGAGCTGGTTTCTGCTCGGGGCACAGAGACTTGGGGGGGGGTTCTGCCTAAGATTTTCTCCATTTTTCCTTTGGAAAAATATAATATTCTGCCTTTTTAATATTCCCCAAAATATTTCTTTCTTTGGAGCGGGTACTGTCTTTCCGCACGTGCCATATACGTGTGGGGAAAAGATCCCTGCAGTGGCTCCCAAAAGGGGAGTCTTTCAACCATGAAGGTCTAAAGCCAGGGCAAAAAGTATGTTAGGTCGAAAAGAAATTTACAATGGCCAATATTCTGTGCCAATTCTTTTAGATGTTTGATGTCACTTTGAGTTCCAGTCAGGTTTGCATATGTTTCCCAAAATTCTTCACAGCCATGGTTTGCTTCAGTACATAACCATTGGCTGCCCATTTTCAAGGGTTGTTTCCTCCCTTAGCTCTTAGTTTAGTGCATCCAGGGTTTGTGATGTCCAACTGAGGTTAGCCAGTGTGCTATTAATATTTCTTAAATTGCACACAGTGAGCCCTAGGACTCCCACTCTGAGTCCACTACTGCAACATATTCAGGGCTTGGGTTTGGAAATCTCTTTTCTGCTATTTCCTCAGTGAAGGCATATGGACTGTAAATCACCTGAGGGAGGCATGGATCCCTCCCCCTTGGAATTTTCAGGAAGGTATGCATGCAAGCCTTAATGACACAGAGCAAGAACCAGCCTGGGAGCTTTACTGAAGTAGGTGAAGCGGATAGCTTCAGTGTGATTCTGAATTATGTGTGTTTGTTTGTGTGTATGTGTGTGTGTGTGTGTGTTTGTGTTTGTGTTTGTGTGTGTATGCAGCTACTTATACAAGACATGCAATACAATGTCCTAGACAAATTTTTCTCCCAACAGACAGAGGTCCAAGGTGTTCAGGACTTGCTGTGCCAACCATTCCAAATGCCATCCCTCCATGTATCCATTTAACTGGCGTATTACAATACAAAT